CAGTCGACTTCGGCTCAGGTCATATCTTGCGGTCCGTGAGTTCAAGCCCCGCGTCGGGCTCTGTGCTGACCGCTCAGAGCCTGGAGCCTGTTTCAGATTCTGTGTCTCTCTCTCTCTCTGACCATCCCCCGTTCATGCTCTGTCTCTCTCTGTCTCAAAAATAAACATTAAAAAAAATTAAAAAAAAAACAACAATAACAAGTTAAAGGCAACAAGATTATCTGCAGACATATAAATATTCTGGAAGTTAAATCTATCAAACTTTGTTCATCCACAAAGCTTTTTCACCCAAGATCACATAAGAAAACAACTACTTATTTATGTAGTCTCTCTTCAAATTACTGGTAGCACAGATATTTCCAAAAAAATTGTGGAATAAAAGTTATCATATTATCCATTTTCATGGTTATACAGTTAAAGAGAAAACGGGGAAAAAATCCTCATTTTGAGACTGCTTTATCTCCTTGCACCTTACTCTAGCCAACCTCTAAAAATTACCCCATATCTCTTTGCAGAGACACCCCACTAAACTTAAGTTCCCTTTCTCCACAGAAACAGGGCTGAGGAGAGGCCAGATCCTTGCCAAGATCAGGATGCCCAAATCTGCAGGAAGGCTCAAAAGCAGGGCCTGTCCAGCAACTTCTCTTAGCCCGGCAACCCAGCCTGCTCTCAACTGCGACAGACATGCGAATCCAAACATGTCCTTAATCTCCTTTTTAAAAGTTTTGTTTTCATATTTTCTTTATTTGTGCAGAAAGCATCCTTTTTAGAAGTGTAAAAGTTACTGGAAAAGTTACAAAAGGTGGCATCTACACAGAGGCCGGTGCCTTCATTCCCTGGCATCTCAGAAGCAAGGAGAGTTTTACTAGTAAGAACGCTACTGTGCCTGCCCAAAACCAAGCTAAACAGAAGCTAATGGTAAATGCCTTCAATACTTTTTGGAAAAAAAAAAAAAAAAAATCCATCAAAGGTTTTGCTGAATGATATTTATAAGGGCCTTACTGTTCTCTTTCAAAAACTGAAATGCCCTTCTCCGACACTTGAAAAAAATTGCTTGTGCTTTTCATCTTTTCCTCTTAGAGTGTAAACATTGTTTTGAGTGAAAAGAGCTGAAGGAGCGCTCACTTTCCCTTGAAATTTTATTTTTAAATAAGAGAGGGAGAAAATCCTTTTTCTGACTAATACTAATAATACAGGTCAAAGTGTCAGGCGATATACAATTAAATGGAAAACAAAAAAGGTTCCCCCTCTTTTTCCCACAGCACAATGGCACTGGAATATAAATTACCAATGGAGATGAAATAATACTTCAAAGCCTGTAGGGCAGGGCAGTGCAGTGTTTACAAAGTATTTTCTATGGCATGATGAGACATTAAAGATGATGGTAACCCATGGACTTGAGGGTATTATTGAATAGTCTAAAACTAGCATGAGGTAGGATTTTAGGTCCCTATAGCCTGTGACCCCGTGATAGGCTTTGTTTCACAAGGGCAGCTGCAGTTATCAACAGATGTTTCAGCAATAAATAATTGGTATCATCTCGGAAAAGACCCATCTACCTGGGGAGAGGGCATAATACCAAAAACACTGCCCAGCTATTACAGCCACATTAATCTCCCATCTCACCAGGTTTCTTGGGGAGCGTGCTGCAGGTGTTTTTTCTGGGAGAGAGCGAACAAACTCTCTCAAGTCAGCGAGCTTTGTGTGGAGTGTAAAGGAGGTTGGCCCCTGCCATAAATTTCTGTCTGTGGCCACACACCAAAGGAGAAAAGGTTGGGGGTGGGGAAGGAGGAGGCGGGGTGGGGGGGAGCGTGTGGGGAGGGAGGAAATGGGAGAGGCTGTGGAGAACAGAAAGCAAAGCATAAAACACATATAATTTTTCTTGATTAAGTTTAGCCTAAGAGAGTAACATTATAAATGACCCTTAATTTCACTAACTCAGGCACTCAGCATAATTCTGTGCTTAACTTTGATATGTTATTTGTGGAATTAACTTAAATTAAATTAAACTTAACAGTGGCTAGACTCTAAGTGTAATGTTAATTTTAAAAATGGAGGGGAAACTTTATGGGAAGGATTCATTTCAAGGCAAAGAAAATCATGGCAAGTTTAGGTTTGTGGAAAAAAGCGTAAGAAGACATAACTTGGCTGAACAGAAAACTCAGCAGCCTTTAACCAATTTTTTATGTAAAGAAGAGAATCTCGTAATGAATTGATTATTAAAACATGGCCAGCCCGCTTCAGTAAGAATAATATTGAAACCAACAGATAATGGGACAAAAACAAATCATGGAATTCACTCGGGATACTTTTGGCAAGCTAAGATATCGAAAGTAGCATGAGTTCACAGAGTGCTATAGTGCTCTGTATTTACAAAACAGAGTGGTTTAGTAATTGTGCACTTGGGGTCTGACACAATAGGAAAGCATCCTAAGAGTCTTTAGGAGGTGTGGTTACTTAATTTATAGCTTGCTGGGGAAGCGAAAGAAAATGATGCTCAGAGTTCAAAAAGCTTCCAGGTTAAATACATCAGGGACTAAAGAAGCCTAATGGACTGATTCTCAGAGCTGCCACTAGTGATCTCGTGAGCCGGACACAAATGTCTTAAATTCTGTATGTCCCTATTTTCCCAACTGTGACATCCGTGCAGTATGTAGAGGGAAAGTAGAAGGAATAAATACAGTCTAACAACTATGAACACCTTGTCTGCCAACTCACATTAGCCCCCAAATGCAGCAAGACCCAGTTTTTAAAATACCATCTTGAGTTTTTCATCTAGAGTCACTAACAGCTTTGCATGCGGCGAGGGGGATCTGGTGATTGCGGGATGGACCAAGAGGAGTAAAACCCTGGTTGTCATGGTGTGATGTGTCTCCCTCTCTCAGCCTATGTTTGGAGTTCAGAGGAACTTTCTAAGCCCCAAAGGTCAAAGAAGAGGTCCTGTTCTCACCTTCCTTGGAAGCCTTGAACGTTCTATGCCACCAGCGGCTGAATCACACAAGGCTTCCCAAGCAGGTGAAGCAACTATGGCTTTTCAAGAACTGGCCCAAGTTTAAACAAGTTCCTGGAATTAATGGGAAGGAGATTGCTTTTACGGTTGGTCTCCTGGAAACTTCACATTGGAGTCTCCTTTTACCCCTTACCTTGTTCCTTCTCCCCTCACATCCCTGGTCAGGCTCTCTGACTTTCCTCCTCTTTTCTTTAGAACGTTGGTTCTCAAGCTCTAGCATGCGTGAGAATCTTCTGGAGGGCTTGTCTATGCTTATTGCCAGGCCCAGAGTTTTTGATTCGGTAAGTCTTGGGTGGGGCCCAAGAATCTGAATATCCCACAAGTTTCTAGTGCTACTGCTGTGAGGTCTCATTTTAAGTATCACTTCTCCAGAGCTGCCCTGTGCCATAAAACCGTAGGCCTAGCCACATGTGGCTATTTATATAAAAATTGATTTTTAAAAATTAAATAACACGAAAAAGTTCAGTTCTCGTGCTTGCCACATTTCAAGTGCTGGAGAGCCAAAGTGGCCAGGGCCTAACGCACTGGGCAGCAGAGCTATGGAACATTTCCTGCGTCGCAGGAAGTTCTACTGGATAGCCTACATCTTGCTTTAGAGTAAACAAGGCTTGGGGATTCTACCTGTGCTTTCAAGTTCCTCACATGGGGCTTTCTGAAGGAGAATCGGTAGCTAGATGGAGGAAGGGGTAGCTCCACCACTCACCGGTCTATTCCCCTGGGCACTTTAATCTCCCTGCACCTTAATTCCCTCATCTGTAAAATGGGGATGATAATGGTGGTAATTACAGGGGGGCCATTTTGAGAAGTAAAGGAGATGATATATGTGTGAGCACTTTGTAAAATCTGCAGTGATACGCAAACCATAGTTATTATTCCATTCCCCTTTGCCACATATACCAAGCCTGGTCCTTTAAAATTGCTGGTTCACCACTGCATTCTTTCCAAATACCCACTTTCTTTTCCTGCAGTCTCCAGTCTGCTTAACCTCAGTCTGTTTGTTTATATTTTTGGCGGGGGTAGGTCATGGGAAAAGTGGGGGCTTTGCTATTTCTACTAAGTCTCCAAAGATGCCATTATATGTACATAGATCAGGGAACCTTTCCCAGATTTCTGTTTCAGTAGGGAAACACAATACCTGTACACTTGTTTTGGGGGTGACCCCAAAACACATTCTCATGTAAACTGATGCAATAAAAACGTTAGGATATTATCGTTGCTTGTAATGCCTGGTGTCCAGACAAACATATATTTTTACATGAGAAAAAATACATATAAGCTAATAGACTCTCTCCTTGACAATCATCTGAGAGAATGTAAGTAAAAAAACAATGCTACTAAAAAGAACAATGACACTCTGTGTAGCATCCCTAGAACCTAAGGCTGAAATCTGAGCTCAGATCTGAGTTCATGTGCTGTTCCTGAGGTCCTCTTCTATCCAAGGAAGAGATAGCAGTTTGATCAATTTCCAAGAAGTGATTTGAGGAATAAGCAGGTCAATGACTTTGATTTAATGCTTCCTGAACAGCCCGCATTGTGAGGAGACAAGGGAATGAGGAGGAGCCCAGGTTTGGAAGGGACATGGTGGACAGCATGTCATACTGATGAAATAATGGTGAATGATTTTTTTTTTCAAGCTACTCAACCCGTAAAAAGGAGCATTTCAAAATAAAAATGCTAAGAGACACGGCAGAACCAAAACCAGTGCTTCTGGACTACCAGGGATATAATAAACATTTCAGGATGACAGTTTTCTCGATAGACCCACTGACCACTCTTCTTCACTTTTACTTGCTTTGGCTTCCAACAGAAGGTCTTACAGGCAGGCAACGCTTTCTAAAAGCTATTTCCCCCACATTAGTCAATCTGGCAGAGCTGACCATAAGGGTAGGGGCTGTCTTATGCTTCAAAGAAATTTAATCTATTAGACCACTTAGAGGCTAAATGCCTCACTTCAGGGTGTCAGAGGAACAGGTGGTGTGGCTCTTCCTACCAGTAACTGCTGCAACCCGGCGCCAATCATATCCTGCAGGTTTGTTTTGTCCTCTGGGCTCACAGCTTGTTTGTACTGCCACTTTTCAGGCACGAAGGGCCACTTCATTTCCTTTGCCTCCTGGATCAGGGTCCTTAATTCACTGGGGAGTGAAGCTGAAAAGGTCAGAGTTCAGGTAAGGAAATTGCAGTCAAAGAAAAGGCTGTTGAGTTACCAATGTTATGATGAAGCACCTCCGTGGCAAAAAAAATTTTCCTACCTCTTGCTGGCTGGTCTGAGCTGGTGGTTCTGACTCAAAGAATAATAGCGCAAAGCTATCTGTCAGGGGTGGCCCTGGTCTACTTTGCCCTTCAGGTAAATTGGGGTAGTCAGGCATTAAGAAAGGTTTTTAGCAGGAAGTAAAGCACTTCAGTGACTATCTCTGCATGAAGAATCAGAGAAAGGAATGAAGGAAATATTATTTTCCCTGTAAAATGAGAAAGGGACTGAGATGGAATGACATCTGGGGCTTGTGGCAGCTGCGTAATGCAGAGAGTCAATTTGTACAACCTCTTTTTACCTCTCCAAGACCTCTCGCCTCACCTCATACTTTCACTATGGACTACATCTGAATATTGACAATGGCTACCAAAAAATGAAATTTGAAATGGTATCGACTTATTGTGAGATGGCTTTGTATTACATTAGTAGACATATTCGATCTCTTCCTGGGCACCAAACCTCATTATAAGAGGTCCACAATATCCTGTCCAAACTTGGAAAACCGAAAAAGTTCTGGAAACTAGAAGGTTTTTTTCTTAAGTTTGGCACCCAAACCAGACTTGAACTGACTAGAGGGTACTTACGGTCTTGTTTATCTTACTTAGTGAGAAGCCAAAAGTTTTGTTGTAAAAATTATGTTTGACTATCGGTGCTGTCCAGCTTCCACTGGAGTATGAATGTAGTAGATGGTACATGTTCCATACTACCTTCCTAACTTGAAAAATTCTGAATTCTGAAGCACATGTGAACCCCAAGTGGTCTGAATAAGGGATTATGGACCTGATTATATGACTGCCAGCTATAAATCTCTATCTTACAGACATTTCATACTCAAAAATATCTAAAACTGAACTCACTGTCTTTTTTCTAAATCTGTTTCTTTATTTTGATGAATGTTACCGCCATTCACTGAGTCACCAAGTCTGAAACTTAAAAGTCAGTCTAGATTCTTTGCTCTCTCTTCCTTCTTGAATCTAACTGGCTATTGAAATCTGTAGATCCTAAAAAATCCATTTCCTTCTTTTCATTATCAGTAATTCTTGCCTGAACCCCTGCTTCCTATCTTGCCTCATCCACTCCAACTTCCACACTGTTGATCCCCATTTTGCTTAAAAAAAAAAAAAAAAAAAAAAAAAAAAAAAAAAAAAAGATGGAGCAGGCCATTGTCCTGCATACAGTTCTTTAATGACTTTGTATACTCTGTCCTCATTTTTGCATTGCCTTCTCCCAGTCCTTTCATGATCAAGTTCAGGCCCACTGGCTTTAGCACTCAGTGCAAACTTGGGTACTTCTCATCAGCCTGCCATGAGATGTCCATCCCACAGAATTGAGATGTCCCTCCTGAGTGCTCCCAAGTCCCCAAATGCAGATGCCCTTTCAGTGTTCATCCCACTGCTCTGAAACTATACTGTCCTCTCATTGGACTGTGAGCTCCCTGAAGACAGACATCGTGTGTTATCGCTGTTGTAATTCACACCCTGATGGTTAAAAGGATTTGTCTTATATCTACATGAGACATGCTAAATAGGACCAAAGAGATATGACACAGAGAGTAAAACACAAAAAGAAGAGAAGGAAGAAAACCTAACTCTGCCTTGGTCCATGATGCCTTTCTGTGTCCTTGCCAAGTGGGCAAATGTATGGATGACTGCTGGTGAGGAGACACTGCTTGGCATTGAGAGGGTATCAGATGGGCCACACCAGTGAGTAATCCATACTGACTACTGAGGATGATTTATAAATATCACACTGAAATCATTGCTTCCTGATTCAGCAACCCAGAACTACGGAGCACTGACTGTGTGATAGCACTCCTCCAAAGAAAGTAGAGCCATGGCATTAGGGACCTATGTGGTCATAATCTGCTGGAAAGCTTGGCCCTCTGATTGCCAGAAATGCTCCGGTATGTATGTAAAGAAAGTTTCTTAAATGATATTTCTAAATAGTTGGGAATAGGATGACTATTCAGTCCTGTTCACTTAGGACAGTTCTCTGTGGTCCTCCTGTACTTATTAATAGTGCTCCTTCTTGTTCTCAAGTGTCCCAGTTTGACCAATAAATTTGGACACTCTGCCCATGAGTATCAAGCTCTGGAGTCAAATGAGTAGTCAAATGACAACAGGAATCTGATATCTGGATTCAAAGAATTTCACCTTATATTGGCACTGAATGGTCTCAATATTTTCAATTTTTTTCACGATGATGGAGAAAATCTGATTCTGTACAACTCATTTTGCCTCCTCCACACTACCCTTTCCTTACAGATCATGCCAGAACATGGATAGTCCAGTGTGGCACACTGAAATAAATGATGCTTCTGAAATACATTTAAAAAATATATCTCTGTTTGAGAGAGGGAGGGAAGCAAACCATAAGAGACTCTTAAATACAGAGAACAAACTGAGGGTGATGGGAGGATGGGAAGAGGGGAAATATGGTGATGGGCATTGAGGAGGGCACTTGTTGGGATGAGCACTGGGTGTTATATGTAAGTGATGAACCATGGGAATCTACCCCAAAAACCAAGAGCACACTTTACACACTGTATGTT